GTACTTAGTAATTTGGGGCACAATACAGTTCCTTGAGGAACCCCACAAGCAAACCCAAACACCCTGATTTAAGCTCTCCCATTTGCACATATTGTTGCCTATCTGTTAAGTAACTTAATCCAGTTCAAGGCCACTCCCCTGATCCCATATCTCTCCATTTTTAAGTAGTATTGAATGATTCAGGGTGTCAAAGGCTTTTTAAAGTCAATAAATATTCTGATTGCACATTTTTATTGTCTAAATTATCTGTAATATCTTCCACTGCTTCCAATATAGCCATCGACGTTGACCTTCCTGACCTAAACCCACATTTGTTTTCATTTATTAAATTATGTTTATCTATAGATGATTCTAGTTTAATATTTAAAAGTTTTTCCAAAATTTTAGAAAACTGAGGAAGCAAAGAAACTGGCCTGTAATTTGTAAAAATATGTTTAATCCCATTTTTGTATAGCAGTTATACTTTTGCAGTTTTCATTTTACTTAGAAATATTCATGTCTGAAATGATAAGTTACATATATATGTTATGTAAATGTCACATATCATGAGGCCACTGATATTTTTAGTCTCTACATTATTTGTGAAAATATTGTCTATGAGTGTTGCACTGTTTTGTTATTCTACTTGGTCTAGTTATAGCTGGATACAGACCAATACTATACATCCTGTTAATAAAATCTTCAGTTGCTTTATGTTTATTTGCATTAATCAGATCAATGTTACAACCTCCACAGATAAATATTTTTTATTATTTATTCCTAAAAATGTTTTTCCACCCTATCCGCAAATACATTCAAACTGGAACCTGGGGACCTATTTAAACAACTAATAATAATATTTTTCTTATTTCTATTAAGTTTATTATTATTCAAGTTTATTTCAGTAGATCAAAAACAGTAGACAGATAGAATATTCCTAGACCTGAAGAAAGAAATTGATACCTGGAGAAAGCATTTGATACCATAAATATCAAATGCAAAGGTCTTCTGGATGGGTTCTTCTTMAGTGAAACGTGTCGTCTCTCCCCTCTCACTTAAGAAGAACCCATCCAGAGGACCTATTTAATTTTTCTTTTTGATTTTCTGTCAGAACATAGGATAGATAAATACTGAGCTAAAGAAAATAAAAAAATGGTTTTACATGAATACATTACCATTGAACTTAATCAAATCAAAATTAAGTATTTTTGGGTTTGGTCGAGCTAAACTAGAATTCCAAGTTCATTTAGAGGGGCTTAAAATTGAAAGGGTGACTGAAATTAATTTTCTAGGTGTAATTGATGAAATATAAGCTGGCAATCTCATATCAGACACGTAAACTCCGAAGTGTAATTGATAAAGGGGAATTGCAATATTACATAAAGCAAAGCAAGTTCTGAATTACAAATCACTTCTAACCTAACCACTTGGTCAAATTCTATCAGTTTTTGAGATATTSCACTTGAGCAATTTTTCACAATAATGGGAGTCAAAGGCAGCTACTAAAACAAAACATGCCACAAACTCCAAACTCTTCACACATGTAGGTATCTACTATGTACATCTCTGACAAAAGATTCAGATCTATAACTCATACTTTTTGGGTTATGTCAGCTGAACCACTTGATTTTTGGGGGTTAATCCTATATCCAAACCCTGACCCTAACCCTAACCTAACGCCAACATAAGGTTAGAGTCTGATTTTTGCCCTCTAACAGGGGCATTAGAAGATCTCTCCTCTCTCCAATAGGGCTTCCGATTATGAACAGGTGGGGAACGGCCCCGACGACGCTGTCGTCGTGGTCGCTCAACCAAGGTCCAACCGCCATCATCATCAGAGTACATCATGCTTTTAAACAAAATATTTCAACACTTAAGTGAACTGAACGTGTCTGAACAATAAACAGCTTGCACAAAGTATGAATGCAGAATGTGTGGATGTGTGTGTGGATGAGGTGTAAATGAGAGCGTGACTGTGAT